CCCTCTATCCATCTGTGTTCCACTCCAGAAAAATTTCAGATTCTGTAGTGATTTATTCAGTCTAGTCACAGAGAAGATAGTTATTTCTACTGTATTATTATAATATACTTAGGACTATTAATGCCTAACTAACAGTGCTGTGTCCACTGTTTGCCATGAGCTTAACTCCCACAGAAGGATACATATAGCTTGCACAGCTTCAATGGATTGTTCAAAAGTCACAGTGCCTATCCCACGACTTTTCCCATCTTTATCTTCCAGAATGTCTGCTCGGACCACCACACCAGCCATACTAAATACTTCCTTCAGTTTCTTCCAGCCAACTTTATAATCCAGCTAGGTGAAAAGAAGAGGGTAAAAACCTCAAGGTAAACCTCTTGGGGAAAAAAAGACATATTTTTACCATTTAACAAGACTTGCTTTGGCTGACTTCATAAGAAAATCAACTTGAGTAGAATTTTTCAAGTACAATTGCAGAACCTGGCCTTAATTTTGCTATTTACTATCTCTCTTCTTAAATTAAACAGCTTAAGTCTCCTCACATTTAATGAATTAACATTCCCCCCCACCCTCACACTTAAAAAAAAAAAAAAAAAAAAAAAGTCAGCCAGGTGGTGAGTGGCACACACTTTAAACCCCAGGACTCAGGAGGCAGAGGCAGGTGCCAGCCTGGTCTACAGGGTGAGTTCCAGAACAGCTAGAGCTACACAAAGAAACCCTCTCTCTAAAAAAACAGTAAAAAACAACATCCCCCCCACCAACCAAACCAAACAAACAAAAAAACCCAAATTAATTAATTAAAAAAAACAAAAAGAAAAGGTCATCCTCCTTTTTAAGTCTTAGCAACATTCCTGAACCCACTTTGTTCTAAAAGTATTTGTCCTTGCAGAAGATAAAGATACCATCATTCACTCCAGACACAAACTGTTTCTGTTTACTCTTGCCCTGTATCAAAACGATAGCAAATAAATCCCAATAAAGATGCAAACCCAGCTACTGCTTTTGTAAACATCTAAAAACCCCGGTAAAGTAGGACCAAGGTCAATTCTGAAGTCACAAATGCAGTCAGTGGTCACAAGAGAACAAAGCCCAACCCAAAGGCCTACTTTAAAATAAAAAGAAGCTATCTTAAGCCTACTTTAAATTACTTGTACAACAGTGACAAGATCAGTCTAAAAAGTTGTCTATTTTTCTATTTTAATTTAAATTAAGCATGCATACTGTTTTCACATTATTTCCACCCCTCCCTGTTTTTCTATTTTAGAGAATGTTCCCATTTACTTACATTTGCTACAAATACTGTGCTTCCAAGTCTTCCAGCCTGTAATGCATGGATAATCTCATTTGGGATGTTAGGATTATTTAGGATACTGGGTGGGATATTAATCATTCCTGGGCCACCTGGTCCCATACCCATCCCACCAGTCGTAGCCATCACCTTTTGCATTGCTCTCCTGGCATGTTCACCATCAGGATCCTGAAAGAAGCACAAACTGTTACAGCCAGAAGTGGGTTAGAGGTAGGCTTGCAGAGACTAGTGGAACTTCTGCCCTCACCACTGCAGAGGCTCTCTTCTGCTGGGGTGCAGCTCAGTGACAAGAGTATTTGCATAATATTCACAATTGCAATCCCCAGCAACAATAATTTAAAACATAAAATTTTAAAAGGGCTCTCAGTAAACCATTCATGGTGGTGAAGGTCTGCAACTTCAATACTCAGGATTGCTAAAGCAGTTCAAGGCCTGCTTTGAGCTACAGATCCAACGCAAAGCCTGTCTAGGAAGCTAAGGAATCCTTGTCTCAAAATAGAAAACTTTAGGTGGGACTCTGTTACAGTCCAGTCTGATGCCCCTGGCAGTGTACTGAGTATATCTGTCTTCTTAAAGTCGGAGGACACAACTTAGTAGTAGCAAGCAGAGCTTATCAAGCGGCACAGGATGTACCAGGCACTCCCATTTCCAATACTGAATTAAAAACAAAACAAGCAAACAAAAAAACCTACAGAGACCAACAGACTGTACAAAAGGCATTTCTCAAATTATTAACAGGATGAAATAAACCACATCAACTAGAAGAGTTCTAGGAAGAGCAACAGTTCAGAAACAAAGAACATAAAAATCAAAAGCTGAAAACAATCTTCAATTTAACTAAAATGAAAAGGTAGGGGGAATGAAAGGATTGGCTGACCTGAGTTGAAAATTCCAGATTGAAACAAGACCTTCAGGCATAGTATGTGTGAGTCTTACTAACTAGTGTAATTTGTGTAAAACTCAATGGTTTTTCAAAAAGTTTGAAATCATAGGTCTATAACCAAGTTACAATGGGGGAAAACAACAACAACAACAAAACCCTCAGGGGTATGAGGTGCTGGCACTCAGGTATAGTCAATGCAGTGTACTGGCACCTGAACAAAATTATGGAAATCTGATGCTGGCATGATTATCTCATTTATTTATTTACATCTATGTCCTTATAGGGGTATATGGCACATGTGTGTAGACATGCAAAGAGAGGCCAGAAGAGGCATAACTTGGAGCTGGAGTTACACAGGTGATTGTAAGTGTAATCCGCACTTGGGTTCTAGGAATCAAATGCAGACTGTCTCTAGAAAAGCAGCAAGTACTCCTAACCACTGAACCATCTTTCCAGCCTGACATAATTCTTGAACCCTGCCTCATCAATCTACCAGGAACACATAAGAAATGACTTACACCCCACCATGCTTTCCATTAAGTCCCAAATAAGTTGTCTTCCTTCCAAAAAAGAAAAGGTCAAGAAGGGTGGCACCTGCCTTTAATCTCAGCACTCAGGCAGGTAAGACAGATGATCCTGAGTTAAAGGCTAACCTGAGCTACACAACAAAGAAATGTTCTCAGACACCTAACACCACCCCTCCCCCAACACACACACAATCAAGGAGGTAAATAATATTGGCAGTAGTATTAACAAAACAACATCTCCCATAAAAAAGTTCTGGAGGTCAGGAACACAGTTCAGTGGCAGAATGCTTGCCTAGCATGCAAAAAACCCTGGATTCAATCGTTGACACCACAAGACCAACAAACAAAAGAAACTTGGTTTGGATTTGATAAAGATGAGTAATAAATACATTTTACAAAATTAAAAGAATAAGGAGATGGCTAGGGGGCAAAGTGAGCAAGCGTTAGTATCTGAGCTCAGATCCTTAGTCACCCGGATAAAAGCTGGGGTACTGGAGAATGTTTGTAATTGCAGTGTTGTGTTTTTTTAAAATTATTTATTTTATGCATATGCATCTTACCTACATGTACACCTTTATGCAAGAAGAGGGCATCAAATCCCACTAGAGATGGTTGTGAGCCACCATGTGGTTGCTGGGAATTGAACTCAGGACCTCTGGAAGAGCAGTCAGTGCTCTCAACTGCTGAGCCATCTCTCCAGTGTTTAAGGGAATGGGAAACAGGAAGATCTCTGGAGTCCACTGGCCTGCCAGTCTAGCTTCAACAGTGAGCCCCAAGTTCAGTAAGAATACCTATCTCAAAAACTAAGGTGGAGAGTGATAGAGAAAGACACCCAACATTCACCACTAGCATGAACACCTGTGCATACCTGTGTACACACAGGTATATACTACATACACAAAAATAAAGAGGCAGGCATACTGTGACACATCACTGCAATCACAGCACTTAGGAGGTTGAGACAGAAGGATCCCAAGTTTGAGACCAATCAAAGCTTTGTAGCAAGATTCTGTCTCAAAAAACAACACAACAAAACCAAAAACAAAGATGGGCCAAGAATAGCATTCAGACTGGTGGATATAAAGACTCTCTTCACTACAGGACCTGTCTTAAAAGAACAAAAACCAAATAAACAAAAACAACAGGTTGGTCTACTCAATACATTTTAGTCAAGGACCATTCTTATCTTCACCAAACAATTATACCTTACTTTTGAGCTGGGAATGTAATTCAGTGGCAGACTGTTTTCTTAATATGTATAAGGCCCTGGGTTCCATCACCAACACCAAGGAAGGAGGGAAAAAAAAAAGAGCTCACTTCTTTGACTTTCAGTGGTCTTCCACTCAGACTATGCTTGTTTAAAACTTCAGCAGCTTTTTTCATGCTCTCTTCCATCTTGAATTCAACAACACTATAAAAGAGTCAAAAGCAAATAAATAAAACCATCCTACAACTTGGAAAATTCAAATGCCAGTAAGTATAAATAGGTAACACTTACGCGCATCCCTTTGAAAGAGGCCACAGACCAGTCAGAAGAGCAAGGGGGAAAAAGAAAACAAAAACAAAACAGTAAATATAAATGACAGTTATGAACAAATTCAAGATATGATTTATGTAACAAAGGTCAGGATTTTAAAAATTAATCCTTCTAAGGGGAAGCTGACAGAAGTGCATGACCTAGCCTTCCTTGTAAAAAGCTAGAGGCTCCTTTATCTCCTTTTCCTACACATTACCAGCACTACACTAAAGCTGCTAACTTATAATGAGCAGACCTAAATCAGTTTCTCCAAGAAATCACACAAACTTTTGATCTGCTTCCCTCTGTACTCAATCAATCCTTACCATACTCCTACTAAATCCAACCTTTCCATAAACTAAGTTCGTCCTTTTGCTTATTCTAAGCCATTCTATTGCACAACAGAAAGTAGTTTATATTCTCATTAAACTAGGCCAATTTTGAACGTTCAGGTTTGTAATGTGTGGTTTACAATTTACTGGCACAAAGGCTACTTTTCAGAATCTTTGGTTCACACAACTTTCAAATCAGCAAACAACCAAGAATAACATTTTCTAAACAAGAACACACTTTTACTTTAATTATACCACCACTAAAATTCCATGCATAATTCACACACAGCCAATTCCTGTTAAACAAAGAGACAATGCTGCTAATGGTCCCCAGTTATCCAAATTGGGCATCCAAACAGAATACCAGAAAGCTCTTTGGCCAGCCATTTGGAAAAGCGGGACTCCTGTGTGCAAGCCCCCTCCCACCCTACTAGAATGTTGGCAAAATCAAACATGGCTACAATAACATGAGCACTCACTGCCTTCCTGATTTCATTCGAGTCCACGCCACCATACAGTTACATTTTCATGTAGTAAATCCACAGAAGAAATTCTCTCAGACACTTACCCTTGACTTTCCTTCAGCGTCCATTAAGAGCTCCACGTATGTTACCTCACCAACTACAAATCAGTTTCCAGACGACACATAAACCAAGGGAGAAAAGCCAAGAAAACAATGGGAATTTAGAACAATCATCAGCAACCCTGTATGGAGCCTCTGCCTTATAAGAAAGCCCAGAAACACTCCATATTCTCCAAACCACCAAACTAGGCATTACAGGTGTGCAGTAAAATAGGTGAAAAGTCATTAACAATATGTCCTTGATTTTCCTCCCACCACAAACACGCTACTTCCACAGATTTCCATTACCAATTTCCCTATCTGTAATGCTCACTCATGACTAGAGGCAATCCAAATCTACGGGAAAGAATTCTGCAAGACTTACTTTCAGGGGAAGGAAGAAGAGCTTTACAGATATACTCTTACTGGTGAAGTCAGATAAACAGCACATACATCACAATGCCAATGAACTGACCTCACATGCCACAAATACAAGAATGTGCCTATACATAAACCAAAAGGAATATAGACACAACCTCAGGGCCAGCTTTGTGTGTGTGCAAACTGTGTAACAAAGCCCTGTGCTTGTTTAGGTTTTAAGCACTATACTGAAATTTCTAATATTTTAACAAGAGCACCGTCCTTTTTTTTTTTTTTGTACTGAGCCTCACAAATTCTATAGCTGAATTCTACACACAGTCCGAGGCACCAGTTTGGAGAAAGAATATTGACTATACAATTGTTAAGTCTGAATAGCATCAGGCCATATTCTTACCATTTCCTAAAAAGGCCATAAGAGGGTACAAATTCAAGTTTGGGGCACAGTTTGCAACAAGATAGTTAAACACAGTACAATGATTCTAAGCTACATGCAAAGGGAAAAATAGCAATGATTTCCAAAATTTCTGCAGATTTCCCCAAGGTTTGGATTGCCAATTCATGACCACCATAACCAGATGTTAAATCCATCTAGACAACCACCAAAATGGCTGCTGAACTTGAAGATGGCTCAAAGCATTAACTTCTAGAAAACAACCTCTAAATCACATTTCCAAAGTTTAAAAAAGGGCATAATGGGGATTTCTTAGGAATCAATCACTCTTTCCTTAGAAGGATGATTATGATATTAAAGTCTTCAATTCACTTAAGTTTAGCAGTGCAAGGGTTAAAAATAACCCATTAAAGGCCTTGACAGGGCCTCTCTACTTAAACTCCTTTGTTCAAAGGAGTAAGAATTAGGATTTTTAAAATCAATACAGAAAGTAAAGATTTAAATGGAAAACAAAAATTATTTCACAAACACAATGAACATCTTAAGGATGTATTAATGGAGTTGCACAGCGGTTGAAGGCCAAGTGTTCAAAGTTTATAGCCTCATCCTCCTTGTCTTTCCTGAAATGTTACAGAACTGGTACTTTGCACAAAACAAGGAGAATCAGTGCAAAGAAAGAAAAATGAAATGGGAGGGACCATTATAGTTGATTCTGAGTACATATTTTGTGCAGGCAAATAACAACAAAAACTGATCACAGCCAAGGGACAGTTGTACATGTTGGCTTTATGTTACCCTTACAAAAGTTAAAGCAGTTCAAAAACTCCATGACCACTTCTGAAGCCATGTTAAAAGCCATTTATTTCAACAGCAGCAGCCATTCAAGGACCAACAGCTCTCTTATCTCCACTGATGAAAATGCCTAGTGTCAAACCAGTGAAGAAATCCCAAATTTGTCTCCTACCAGCTGTGACTACTGCCAATAACCTTAAATAAAAGAATCACAAAATCAACCTCAAGACAACTTTTAAGTTTGTCAGAATCCAAGGACTGTTGCACTTGAAATTTCTAGCTTGTAGCCAAAAGACACTTTAATCAAAACGATGTTACTGCAACCTAGAAAACAACAAAGTCCAAAACAAACTTTTTCCACAGTCATAACCATTTTAACAAAATACCAAGTTAAGAAAATTACAGCTTTTTCCATTTGACATTCTAGTAAAGACACACACCCAACTTCAATCCTGTGCACTAACATTTGATTAAAAATGGTCTCCCTCTTAGAAATGTTTTCTCTGTGGGTCAGAAATAAGTATTTCTAAACTAGGGCAATATCAGCAATAACTATGCTTTTCACAAGTTTGTAATATTCCAATCTTGATACCACAAGAGAATTCATGTGGTTACTCCTGTTTGTAATTCTCAATTCTCTAGAGGAAGGTAATCATGAAGGCTTTAAAAAGACAATAGCCTCCTCTGTTCTAGTATGTCAAGGATTTGTTTTATGTAGTCAGTACAGCTTATCCACAGAATCCCAAGAGTAGATTGCTAAGACAAATCTACTGCAGATTTAAATGTCAAAGTATCTAAATAAAAAAGACTGAAAAAGAACTAAGAGAATATAGAAACCAAAGCTTTACTGAAGAAAATACATGTATGTATGGCTTGTACGCTAGGGATTGAACCTAGGACCTTTCATCTTTCTTGGAATCTTATGTGTTTGTGTACACATGCACACAATAGTGAGAGTTGGGGCATATGTGTTCCATGGCACCTTTGTGGTGGTCAGAGGACAACCTTAGGAGTGTCAGTCCTTGCCTCCCACCTTGATTAGAGTCTCATTTTCACCTCTGCATATACTTGCTTGTGAACTTCTATAAGGATTCTGCCATCTCTTTGTAGGATTATTGTAGTTTAGTTGTGAGGATTCAAGCTTGCTGTACAAGTCTTTACACTTGTACAGAAAACACTTTTACCTACAAAGCCTGTCCTTATTTTTTGTTTTTTGAGATGGTCTCATGCAGCCCCGGCTTGCCTATAAATTCTCAATCCTCTGCCTTCACCTCCCAAATGCTGGGATTACAGGGGTGTGTCACCATACTTGGATTCTTTTTTGTTTTTGTTTTTTGAAGGGGACGTGTGCATGAAAGAAAGCAGGACACACTGTTGAGCATGCTTTCTATGTATCATAGTGGTCAATATTCAGTCAATCTAAGGGAAAAATTGCACAGATTAAAGGCACATTTCATAAAGACAATTTCAGCTGGGAGCATGTCTTTAGCCCTTGGAGGGAGGTGGATCTCAAGGCCAGTCTGGTCTAACATAGCAAAAGCCCAATCTCAAAGGGAAGGAAAAAAAGGCCGGACGTGGTGGTACACGCCTTTAACCCCAGCACTTGGGATGCAGAGGAAGGTGGATCTCTGTGATTTCGAGGTCAGTGTGATATACAGAGTGAGTTCCAGGATAGGCTCCAAAGCTACACAGAGAAATCCTGTCTCAACCCCCCCCCCAAAAAAAAAAGACAACTTCAAATATGGAAAGCCATCCTACACAACAATAAACTGACTCAGCCAAATACATAGTGATAAAAGTACAAGCTTTCTATTGCCTACAGCAATGACTAGAAAGCTGGGGATCAACAGCAGTACTTAAACATGAGTGCTTTTGCATAACAGGTCTTGCAGTAACAGCTCAATTTCCAACAGGAAAATATGAAGAATACTGGGCAGGAACTTAACTGAAATGGAAAGCAACTTTACCTCACCAAACCACAATGCAAATTATTGCAGAGAACCAAGAGAGGCTTTCTTTTGGACTATATATACTTGCCCTCTAGGCCTCTGTTTTCTGTCAGCAGCAATCTGAAAAATACTCGGTGATGATCATTAAATATTAACACATGGATTAAAGGCTTAAAGAAATCTTTGCTTATACAAATTAAACTGACTGCCGCTAAACTAGGATTTGAAAGTAAACTATCACTGACTTTTCTTTCTTCCTCAAACTGGGCACAGTGTTTATTCACCAGTGCAGCTGAGTCTTGCCTGGGTGGCAGCTGCCCCACCTCCACACTGCTAGCTCCAAACACCCAACTTTGTTCTTTCTCTCTTCTCTCTCTCTCTCTCTCTCTCTCTCTCTCCCTCCCTCCCTCCCTCCCTCCCTTTCTCTCCCTCTCCCTCTCTCTTTAAAAGATTTATTTATTTATTATGTATATAGTGTTCTGCCTACATGCATGCTTGCAGGCTAGAAGAGGGCACTAGATCTCATTATAGATGGCTGTGAGCCACGATGTGGTTGCTGGGAATTGAACTCAGGATTTCTGGAAGAACAGCCAGTGCTCTTAACCACTGAGCCATCTCTCCAGCCCCACCCAACTTTTTTCATTCTGAGGATTTTTTTTTTTTTTTTGTTTTTTCGAGACAGGGTTTCTCTGCGTAGCTTTGCGCCTCACAGAGATTCACCTGGCTCTGCCTCCAGAGTGCTGGGATTAAAGGTGTACGCCACCACTGCCTGGCATCATTCTGAGGATTTTAAGGGCTCCAATTAATGTAAGACATTATTACTGTTGTTGTTGTTATTATTATTATTATTTTGGTTTTTATTATTATTATTATTATTATTTTGGTTTTTTGAGACAGTTTCTCTGTGTAACCTTGCCAGTCCTGGAACTCAATCTGTAGATGAGGCTGGCCTCTAACTTAAGAGATTGACCTACCTCTACCTCCAAAGTACTGGGCTTAAAAGTGGGCATCACCACAGCCCAGCGGACTTTATTTTAAGATGAAAAAAAAAAAAAAAAAACAAACGAAGGAAAAGAAAAAAAATATCACCTTTTGTTTAAAAGAAATCATCATTCTGGTACCCAGTCCTTATAGTCAAACATTTTAAAGACAGTATCCCATTTTTTGAGTAGCTACGGATAATAAAAATTACTTTCAATCATAGTTCTGCAACCTCTAATTTAAATTCATGTAAAAATGGTTCCCAATTGTTTTTTCAATCCAGTACGCTCTGATGTCAAACCATTTGTTACTTGTAATGCCTCCATTAAAAAAGGATGACCAAGTTATGGAAGTCACCTGTCACACCAGCACCCAACCTGGGATATATAAGAAACCCTGTCTCAAAAAAACAGTCAAATAAAATAAACCTTCACTTGGTTCCTCTGGGACACCTTGGAGCAGGGAGCAGGTAGTCAAGCAAAGGGCAAGGTGTAAAAACAGTATCTTAATGCAGGACCTTCATTGATAGGAGTTGAGCAAAAAAGCAGCACAGCTCAGAGGAGGAAAAAAAAAAAACAAAACACTTTCCATGCATCTTGTCTTAAAAATGGGCAATACTGATTTCACTATAGCACCACCAAACAAGCTCTGTGTCATTTTCCAAGGGGAAAGTGCAAATGAACAGGTTTTTACAAGATCATTAACAAAATATCCTAAAATGCTGCTAAACAGGTAAAATTAAACACAAAATACATGCTTGGTATCAAAGAAGGAGAAGAGGAAGATCAGGAGTCAGGAAATGGTACATGAGACGCTATCACCAGTGCTGCCTTTTTAAGCTCCTGTCTTGTTCTGACAGGCTGCAACTAATGACACTTGGAATGGCAGAGACTGGAGGTAAAGGCAAATAATTATTCCTCTTATTCCAGGAAGACAGAGTTTTCTCAGAGAAGACTGCAGATTGGAAAAACTGCTTTGATTACGCCAGCCCAATCTCTGTGATCTATTCAACTATGGTTACCATGAAACCAATCCTTTTAGGGTTTAAGTACTGCTATCTGCCACTTAAACTTTCCAAAAACTTAGGACTTTCTGACAACACATTAAATTAATGCCTTTAATCCCAGCACTCTGGAGACCGAGGCATTTGTGTCTCTTATGATCTCCACAGAGGCTAGTCTGGTATACACAATGAGTTCTAGGACATTGTTACATAGTTAGACCATCTCAGAAAGAGATCAAGATGAGGACCATCTCAAGAAGAGATAAACAGAGAAGAGAGCGAGAGCGAGAGCGAGAGCGAGAGTGAGAGAGAAACTAGTAACATTTTAAGATCAAACAAAAATAAAAAATTTTCAATCTCATAATAAAAACAAGAACATTTAAGAAGCCATACATAGGTAAATAAAGTAAATGTCTTTAAACTTCACACACTGAATCTAAACATTACTACAGAAAAATTAACCTTTCTTACTCCCAATCCAATAATTGCTAATTATTTAGACAGCAGAGTAATTAGTTTAACCTGTACCTGGGAGCACTAAGCAAGAACATTTTAACATTCAATAAAAAGATTTACTGCACACCTGTAATTCTGAGTTACACCAACAAAAGTACACTGAGAGGGAGGAGCACCCACATCCATGGCAGTAGGCCAGGGGAATATGAGAACCAGTTTGGAAGGCTCCAAGTAAACCACCAGGCTGGCTCCACACTTAATACAGGACAAAATAGTAATTGAGGTGAACTGCTTCTACATCCAGAAACGTCATGCCTGCTGCTGCTACCAGCTTCATGGCTTCCAAAACTGAATTACTGAATGGTAAAGCAGTAAAAATATCACCTACTTTATCCATCATGTCCCAAAACTGGTTCACACACTCCTAAAAATGAAAAAGTAGTTTGGCCTGCAATCTCTTACAAAACTCTAACAATTGCATTTTCAAAGCCACATTCCTGGTTCTTGGAACTACTACACCTTATTATCAATGGGGATAGCAATTCAGTGGTTCAACCAAATCACAAGAACACAAATTTTGGGGTTTATTCCAAAAACTAATTCGAATGAGATCCAACTGTACTGTACAGAAATTCTAAGCTTATATGAAAGCAGCAGTCCCAAGGAACCAAGAACACTGTATCTGGGATGCCACATGACACTCCCTTCAGACAAAAGAAACTTCACTCTTGCTCTAGGAGGATTGGCAGGAATGATTTGGCTGATCAAGGCAGGAAAACAAATCTCACACCAAAACAGTTTTTCATCTGTTTATCTGAGAAATACCACATGGGAGCAGCACATGTTACTGTGAAGGTTCACGGTGCCTAGTGCTTCTTGCATGTCACGGTCAAGTAAGTAATGGGATAATGATGGCAGTGGCCACTCAGTTTCAAAACTCAATGCTGGGGCACCAGCACACACACCAAAGGGACATCCAAGTGACATCTTTGTCACTAGAATTAATCATTCAACAAATCAAGCTCAAATCTCTCTTCATTATGAATGCTCCAGAAAACCAATACCTTTCAGTCCTTCAGAGACTCCATTAAGGGTAATTTGATCCTAGGTTCCCTTGGGGGAGAAGAGGAGCTTCTTATCTACCTTATCTAAACCAGGACCCAGCAATCTCTTCAGTCCTGAGAGCCACCATGAGGGCTAAGAATCAGGAAGGAAAGGAGGACAAGAGCAAACAGAATGCAGGAGAGGGCCACGCACCCGTGTGCAGAGGCAATGTGGTCCCCTCAGACCTCCAGGCGGCAGAGGCCCTTGGTCGCTTGACCTGTCTTAGGCCAGGATTTGGATACCTAGGCCGGGACACCATACACCCTCACAGCACCACATGCACAGATGATTTGAGCTCTCCTACTGTCCATCTCTCTCTTTACTTCAGAGGAGAGCTCAGTTAAAACAGCAGATCCCGTTACAGAGTTTAGAATCTGAGCAACAGACATTCCAGGCACCAACTTTTGATTCCACAATACTCACAAAAATTAAAACTATCTCTTAGCCACTTAAAAAAAAACTTAAACAACAGAAGTAAATTAAAACACACACAAACACAAACACACACACACACATACACACGCACGCACACACAAACACACACAAAAAATAACGTGAAAATTTTGATAAATTTCCTTAACATAAAAACACTCCTCTCAAACCTAACTGAAGTCCCCAACAAAGCCAGTAAAATTATTTGTAGGTCAAGGGACCATATAAATCACCCTATTTAACATGTGGGTGTGAATGCAAAAAAAGGGTGGAGGGATCTAGTGGTAGATCTAAACCTGAACAGAACACATGCTCTTCCTAGAGCAGCTTCCACTGACAAAAAAAAATCCAGATTAGCCACAGAGAAGACACACCAACCTTCTTACCCTACTCCACCACCAGTACCATTACCTTTTTCTTTAACCAGGTCTTTAAGTGACTGCCATTTCACATCAAAAGGTATGTTGGTAATGAAGGCTCTGTATCTTTTAGTTGGATTGGTATATGGCTCAAAGCGATTGCCTCCTCTTTTTATGTTTTTCTCCTTCCTCTTCTCATTCTGAGTAGGTCGTTCTCCTTCACTGAATTCAAGAGAAAAAGTTTCTATGTTAGTGGTATCTGTGGTAACAGGTTTATAATCCCACAGTTATGTATGACATGAGGACAATGCTGGTTTTGATTTGGAACATTCCAAATGAAGGTCTTCACAGCAGATATTTGCAATTATGCATTCCTTATAACCTAACCCCCCACCCCACACACACACTGGGAATAGTGCACATGCCTATAATCCCAACACCTAGAAAAAGGAGGCAGAGTCAGCCTCACTTAAATGAGAACAAACACACCTACCTATCAAGAACCCATGCTCAAGAGAAATGTGCTATCCTAGGCTTAAGTATAGTTCTTTATGCTGCATAACACAGAAGGAGGGAGTGAGGCCAACTTCCCAAGCATGGGGGTGAGGGATGGGGGAGGGAATCCATCACCTAAGTTTGCCAAACACAATACCATCTGCCAACACATCTCTAAATGTTTCTTGGCAAAAACAAAAGTTCTTAAATTATACATCAATCCACTTGTCACCATTAACCAGAGGATCTATGGATAGAAATGTACTTAAATATAACTTTCTTTTATTATTTTATTTTATTTTGGTTTTTCGAGACAGGGTTTCTCTGTGTAGCTTTGCGCCTTTCCTGGATCTCACTCTGTAGACAAGGCTGGCCTCAAACTCACAAAGATCCACCTGCCTCTGCCTCCCAAAATCCCAAATATTTAAAAGGTTTACATTTAAAAACATCAGTCAGCACTGGGAGGTGGTGGCACACACCTTTAATCCCAGCACCCAGGAGGCAGAGCCAGTCTGAGTTCAATGCCAGCCACGGCTACAAAGAGAAACCCAGTCTCAAAAAATCATTTAATTAAAAAAAAAAAATCAGTAACACAGTAATACTTTCAGTCTGTTTTCATAGACTGCTCAGCTCACCTGTTAATTCTAAACTACATAATAAGTAGAGGACACAGGCAGTAGTATCTCGCCCATATTCTCCTGATCCACCTACAGCTAAAAGTAAATTACAACCACAGCAGCTGGGTGTTTGGTTTGAGGTTAATCATAGCACATGACTCACCACTGAGAAGCAGCTCACTGAGTTTTACTACTCAAAGGGTAGGCACAGCACCACTGCACACAAGTCCTGTTCTGACCAATCTCTCTCTCTCTCTCTCTCTCGCTAATTTCCTCATAAGCAAATGGGGTTTGACCTACCTCTTGTTTTCAGCTTTTCAAAATATTGGCCTTTCTGAACTTATATTGATTACCAACTGTATTCAGAAAAAACTCCTCAAAAGATCTTACTCATACTCAAATGCAGATTATGTAACAGGCAGTATACCATAAAGTTCATCTTAACATATTCAATGCTATTTTTCTATGCCATAAGACTAATGATGATTTCCTTCCCAAATCCTTATAGTAATAGCTGTTTTTTTAAAAGTATTTCTTCCATGCATATTGAATGTTTTGCCTGCATGTATATTTATACCATGTGCTTGACTGGTGTCCAAGGAGGTCAAGAGAAGGTGTCAAATCCCCTGGAACTGGAATTACTGACAGTGTGAGCTGCCAAGTAGATGCTGGGAATTAAATTCAGGTCCTCTTAACCATGAGTCATCTCTCCAGATCCGTAACATTTAATACTGAAACCTCGTCCTGCTTAAGCAGATAATACAAAAGTATTCACAGAAAGACTTATTTTTTTTTGAGACAAGGTTTCACTATGTAGCCTTGTGTGGCTAGGAACTATGTACACCAGGGTGGACTTGAACTCTGCCTCCTAAGTGCTGAGTTATAAACAGGATTTTCTGTTTTGTTTTAATTTTTGCCCCCAAGACAGGGTTTCTCTCTGTAGCTTTTGGAACCTATCCTGGAACTCGCTTTGTAGACCAGGCTAGCCTCAAACTCACAGAAATCCACCTGTATCTGCCTCCCAAGTGCTGGAATTAAAGGCATGCGCCACCACCACTCGGCTTTGTTTTAAATTTTTGTGTGTATGTTTAAGTGTACATGCTGCATGGAATGCATGTGGTGGTCAGGAGACAACTACTAGGAGTTGGTTTTCTACTTCACCATGTTTGTCCTGCACCTTTAACCACTGTGTCTGAGTCATCTTGCTAGCCCTTTGTAGGCATCTTTATCATAAATACTCCAAATCTGGAAGATATTGAAAATAAGACTGATAAAGTACCTGCAGCAAAAAGAATCTTAAATTTTAAAATAACAATTCAAGACTATCTGTATCAATTGCATAACCTCTGTTCACTTTTTATGGAAAATAAAAACAGCATTCAAAAAACGTAAAATTCAGTCGGGTTGTAGTGACACACATCTTTAATCCCAGCAGAAGTAGGTGGGTCTCTAAGTTAGAGACCAACCTGGTCTATGGATTGAGTTCTAGGGCAGCCAGGGCTACACAGAGACCATGCCTCAAAACAAAAAGCAAATTTAGTTTATAAGCATCACGTTAAAGTTTCATCTATAAACTATCTCTGTAAATTAACTCACAATGGATTTCAATCTGAAAAAGCAAAACTGTCTTCAAAATTAAAAGTATCTGCTCTGAAAATAAGTAAGCCAGGCCTGGTTGCACATACTTTTAATCCCAGAAGGAAGGAGGCAGAAGGTTGAGGCCAGCTTGGTCTATATGAGAACCTGCCTCAAAAAAAGAACCTGTCAATGTTTGCAAAAATGGTAGCACAATTTTACCAAGAAAATACAATTCTCCCAAGTTCCTTTTTCTCTCTGACGATACTTAACATGGTCATTATTTAAGTTTACCTATTATGCCAGGTATTTAAATGGTATCTTGGTTTTATTTTTTCCCTAACAACTCACAGTTCTGGGGTTTTATTTTTATATTTGCATATTTGCAATCTATATTCTTTGGTGAGATGTTCACAAATACTTGTCCTCCCCTGCTTAAAGACAAGGTCTCATTCTACCCAAGATAGCCTTAAACTTTAGCCAAGGATGACTAATTCCTGCCTCTGCCTCCTTAGTGCTAAGATTACAGGCCCACACCACTACACCTAGCTCTTCAACCATTTTTAAAAATCAGGTTATTGGGCTGGCAAAATGGCTCATTAGGTAAAAAGACACCTGGTGTCAGGCCTGATGATCCAAGCAAATTCAGTCCTCAGAACCCACATGGTGGAAAGAACAAACTCCTGTAAGTTGTCCTATGACCTATGCATGCATGTGTGCATGAAAAAGAAAACATTGGTAATTAATTTATTACTGAATTCTGAGCCCTTATTTTACTTTATTTTTAGACAGGAACTCTAGGTTGCTTGCCCAGGCTGGCTTAAACTGGCAATCTTCTTGACTCAGCCTCCCAGGCAGATATTCTTGTTATCCTGTATTCATTGCACTTCAGGATGCTTGGTGGCAGTCTTAACTCTACTCAATAGGTAACAGTAAACCCAATCCCCTAGTTAAGAAGATTAAGGTCAAAAGTGTCTCAAGACATTTCCAAATGTCCCAAAGTTAGAAAGGGTACACCCAGGGAGAACTGATCAAGGTGCCAACAAGGAAGAGCTGTTAAAAGTGTTACAAAGCGGGTGTGTGTGTGTGTGTGTGTGTGTGTGTGTGTGTGTGTGTGTGTGTTAGTGATTTAACTAGAGAACAGAGCACTTATCTGGCAAACACAAGACCCTGGATTCAGTCCCTAGGACAAGGAGAAAGAGAATGAGAAGATGAAGATGTTATATAGCTCTTGGCTCTCTACCTACTGAGTGCTGGGACTACTGGTGTATACCTGGGTTAAACTTTACACTTTCTTCTCGTGTTTGTTAAACTTTCCAGCATATGTCAGTGTGTTTGAGTTGTAACGTTAACATAAACTAACAAATCTGTAATCTTTCAAAGAACCTGCAGACAACACAGGTAGCTAATCTATGTACTTTACCTAACTGGCTCTCAATCCCAAATTGCCAAGAAAAACTAGATTCTGGCACCCAGTTACTCAAAGTTCCAAACAAGCCCAATAAAATAATCTTTTCTAATAGTCTAACAAATTGTTTTATATCATAATATGCTAAGACTTAAAATATATTAGGTATCTGCAAGACATTAAATCAACACCTGTTTTATACAACTTTGGGATTTATCACATCATTGCTCTGCCACACTAAAATTATATTATATACAAAGGTGACAGTTTATATAAAGATTGAGTACCTTAATTCATATAAACCATGAAGGACTATTCTATTCAGTACACTAAAACAGTCTCAAGCCCAGCATGGTGGTACATACCTTTAATCCCAGACTGAGGTGGACTTCTGAGTTTCAGGCCAGCCTGGTTTATATAATGAGTACCAACAAAGAAAACAAACCAACAAAACCCACTTGAAAAAAAAAAAAATCAAAGGGCAAAGTAACAACAAAGCTATGACAGCACACACTCAAATAACAGAGCCTCCTATTCTAATCTCAAGCTAACAATCTAATATGCCTTTTGTCTCCCTAGCATCTCTTATGTCTTCATGACATTCCTATGCATAATTACCACTTATACTATTTTTGGAATTTCTCAATCAAGAGAAGGATATAGTTTGGGAGAAAAATCTCAATACCTTGAAATTCTGATCGTGTCTTCAGAGACAAAGATCCATCTTCCCTCCTGAAAACAACCTCTTTCATAAATCAATCTTCAGAGACGTCTTTTAAATTCTGACTATTTAATGGAACATTATTCTAGCTACAGATTCTCCACTTAACGAACCACATAACTCAGTCCGTTTCTAGTGTGACTTTTTACTAGCAAACCAACATAGCCTGTATCCAGGCTTGCTGTGGGGATCAACAACAAGGATGTGTGGTAGTCAGCACCCAGGAAGCAGGGGCAGAAGAGTATGGTAAGTTAAGAGGCCAACCAGAGATACATAAGATCTCGCCTTTAAAAAAAAAAAAAAAAAAAACAAGCCGATTGTTTGTTTTGTTAAAAAGCACCACAAGTTAAAAACACCACAAGTGTGGGGCTGGACAGATGGCTCAGAGGTTAAGAACACTGGCTGTTCTTCCAGTGGTCCTGAGTTCAATTCCCAGCAACCACATGGTGGCTCACAACCATCTACAATGAGATCTGGTGCCCTCTTCTGGCCTGCAGGCTAAACACTCACTGTAAACATAATAAATAAATAAATCTTTAAAAAACAAAACAAAAAAAAAAAAACACCACAAGTGGTGGTGGCCCACGCCTTTAATCCGGAGCTGCTTGGGAGGCAAAGGCAGGTGGATCTCTGTGAGTTCAAAGCCAGCCTGGTCTACAAAGCTAGTTCTAGGACAAAACAAAGACAGCATAACCAAAAGCAGTTTGGGGCTTTTGAGAATATGCTTTTTCCCAGCTCACTAGTCCAGTTCTATTCTCAGCAATGTTTCTCTTTAATAATAAACAGTCTCTGCCCAGCATGGTAGAGAATACTTTTAATTCCAGATCTGGGGAGGCAGATGAAGGTGGATTTCTGAGTTTGAAGTCAAAATGACTTACAGTGAGAACCTGTCTCAACAACAAAAACAAATAAGTAAACTGTCTATTTCTACAAAAAAAGACTAAGACCAAAAACAAGTTGGTATATGTTAAGTACAAAATATGTAAAGACAAGTACTACAGGTATCTAAGAGCTAGGGCCATACATCAAAGTCTGAATAATACTCTTTATAAGTGGAGGCTACTACCAAGTTACAAGTACTTAAAAAGAGTTAGCACACAGCACACCAATAATAATTTTGAGAGGTGTGAAAAGGGAGACCTATTTGCTCCTAGCCTTTTAGCACTGCACCCACTTGGGAGGTTTTAACACATTTCAACCAGTGTCCATCAGAGAAAAAAGTCTAAGCATTGATCCCACTATAAACTACCAAAGAGACAATTCAGCTTTAACTCTAATACTGCAAAACAGAGTAATATGAGAGCTCATTTGGGAAACCATGGGGGGGGGGGGGTTAAAAGTAAGCTTTTGCAGGCTGGCATCTGTTTCTCCAGTCATGGGGAAAAAAAAAATTCAAAGGGTAAAGTAACAGCAAAGCTCTGATCTGACAGCACACACTCAAATAATACAGAGCCTCCTATTCTAATCTTGAGCTAACAATCTAATGTGCCTCAAAATCCTTTTCACCAAATATACAATCACCTTTTAAAGTACAGCAAACAGAGCAGGGCATGATGGTACACATCTATCATCACAGCATTCAGGGGAGGAAAGCAGCAGGATTCAAGGCCAGCCTGACCTACAGGGTGAAATGCTGTCTCAAAAAACAATAGGTCAGTGGTTAAAAGCACCCATAGTGCCCAACTTCCTTTAACTCTAGCTCCAGGTGATCTGACACCCTCTTCCTGGTTCCAAACACTGGCACTCACCTGCATGCATACATATAACACTTAAAAAATAAAATAAAATGGTCTCTACCATCAAAAACTAAATAAGTGGACTGGAGAGATGGATGGCTCTGTGGTTAAAAATACTAGCTGTTCTTCCAGAGGACCTGGGTTCAAGTCCCAGCACCCACTGCTAATAACTCTAGTTCCAGGAGATCTGATGCCCTCTTCTGGCTTTCATGGGCACTGCATGCACATAGTGCATAAACATGCAGGCAATTCACATATTTTTTCCTTTTTCTTTTCTTTTCTTTTCTTGTTTTTTTGAGTTTCTCTATGGGCTGTCCTGGAATTCACTTTGTAAACCAGGCTGGCTTCAAACTCAGAGATCTACTTGCCTCTACCTCCTGAGTACTGGGATTAAAGGAGTGTGCCACCACTGCCTGGCTCACATAATATTTTTAATAAAAAAAAATAAAAACCAATTGGTGAGAAGATTCAGTAGGCAATGCTTATAAGCATGAAGACCCCGGTTTGATAACTAGTCAAAAAGTAGGGAGGAAGCACTCTTCCATTCTTTTAGATGTTTTACTTCAAGTATTTTGTAACATACACACATACACACACAAAACAAACAACAACAACAACAACAAAAAAAACAACTGTTCCCCACCCATACTACAAAACTGTTTAAGTGCTGCCCCTTTCTCAAGTATCCTCCATTAAGCCAGTCTCAGACCACTCAGGTTCTTTCCAACACTATTTCATCTCTGAAACTTTCTATGCACCTAGTTTGTCAAATGACTCAGTCACAAGATATCTATTTAAAATGGACAGAAAATTTGCAAACTGTACCACTGTACTGAGTTCTATAACAAATTCAACCTTTCACCTAGAAAGGTTCTGACAGCACTTCATCCTATAACTTTTCTTAAAGCCCTTCAGGAATCCTACAAAAGCCAGAAGTGACAGTGCATGCTTTTGATTCCAGCAACTGGGTGGCAGAAGCAGGGGCATCATTACAAATTCAAGGCCACCAAGGACTACACTGTAGACTCTACAGGCTAGCCAGGCATCTATCTCAAAAACTGGGGGAACAGCAAAGATTGGAGGAGAAAGGAAATTGGATCCTACAAGACATCTCTAAAACAAAGGCTGAAAAAAGTGAACATAGGACTGATTGGAGGTGTAGCTCATAGGAAAGAGTGCAAGACTCTGGGTTCCAAAGGGGGTAGACAGGGAAGTAACAATAACACATTCAAAAGGCTGAGACGTTCCATAATAAAAGTGTTGGGAATAACTAAAGGGAAGCCCCTCTCTTATTTATTTCAGTGTTGTGGGGTGGAACCCAGGGCCTTGTACATCCTGGGCAAATACTCCTAATGGGCTATAATATCACAAGTTCACACATTTTTGGTTTGTTTTTAGACGGGCACTCATATATTGTGGGCAAATCTTGAACTTGTTATGTAGCTGAAACTGGGGAACTCTGCCTCCCAAATACTGAAATCACAGATATGAACCAGTTAACCAGTTACTTCTACATAGATCTAGAACACAGATCTACATAGAACACAGATTCTACATAGATTCAGTAACACAGTAGCCATTACTTAGTAGATGCTTTATCAACAAGTGTTTAAAATACTTTTAGTCCCCAGAATCCTAAAGCTTCCTGCCTTACAAATCTGATAGCAGACGAAAATTCAGAGATATAAGCTGCTGGTCTTAGAACCAAAATGTTTTCCCACACCTTTCTCAAGTAATGGTAAATCAGCGTGAATAGAGTTTCACGGGAGCATAATGGAACGTTTTCCTTCTTGAAGACAACTTTTTCTTTGGCTCGGGAAGGTCTGCCATGTAGTGTGTTACTAGGGATGGAATCTAGTTACTTTGGAGTGTCAGGCCACTGCTCTATTACTTTACTACGTTCCCATCCCTCTTTTTTAGTTGAGACCCGGTCTCACCCAATTTCCCATTGATTGAACTCACTCTATATAGCTTGGCCACACTTTGCACTTTGGATCCTTTCAGCTTCAACTTCCTCCCCAAAAGCTGGCACTCATCAGGCCGAACTTACAAAAACAAACCAAGGACCCGGAACAGACCCCAATTAGGATTCCGAAAAGGAAATGATGAAGTCTGGCTATCCTAATTTCTGAAACCTTGAAACCCCAAAGAGGTGTCTTCACCCGCGCACACTTTATGACTTTATGTCGCTAAGGATGAACACTGAGCAAGCTGGGATCACTTCTCCCTACTGTTACCAACTCTGCGCTTGAGGAAGAAGCGGAAGGATTCCAGCCCGGGAGCCTGGGTCCGGGGACCCAGTACTTCTGATGGAAGTACTTCCTGCAGGAGAGATGAACGGACACCGAGGGTCTCAGAACCCTGCAACCAGTCAGGTGCGACACCTTCCCTGTCCCGCCGCCGTTTGCTGACCGTACACGTGATGACCCGCGCGCGTACCCCTGCCACCCCTAACTTGGCGGATCTGAGAAGCCGAGACAAGAACACCCCCACTACCACGGGCTGTAATGTTGAGGGGTTGAAACCACACAGCCTTAGTCGCTCAACCCTCGAGACCCCTCTGAGGGGTGCAGCGAGACTCGGGCTCCCGCCAGCCTGCACGCCATCACTGCTCCCAGAGTAAAAGAGCAGGCAGGCCACAGGCCTCGACGACGCGCCCGGGCCGCCGGGAGGCTGAGGCAGCCGAGGCAAGCGCCGTCGGAAGGGGGCGACCGGTGCGGCTCTCCAAGCTCCGTCGTCATCACAGCCTCCGCCGCCCCCGACTCTCGGCAGGGAAAGGCCTGCGCAGACGCCGCGCCGCCTTGGGGGAAGAGAAAGCGGCCAACACACCTAACGGAGCTGCAAAGAAGCGCGGCCCGAGTTGGGAAAGGCACATTGCTGTTAGAATACTCACCCCTTCGGGCCTGGAGCTCCGTTGCCGCTCGGCACGCAGGGCGCGCCGCTCTCTTCCTCCATTTTGGGCTCTGTCGCTGCTACTTCAGCCGCCGCTTCGACCCCTGCCGCCATTTTCTCCGCGTCTGGGCTTTGTGTGAGGGAGCGAGCTGTGCCGAGCTGCGCCTGCGCGCTCACGTGACCCCGCACGACCAGTAACGCCTGCGTGTGCTGCGACCGGTTCCCGCTTCCTCCTCGCCTCGGGTCACGCCCCCTGGATATCAGACCACGCCCCCTGACTATCTGCTCCCTTAGCTATCAGGCCACGCCTCCCGGCGCCCTTGAGTACTGCTGTGCTTGAAGTCAGAGTATCGCCCTTACTCACTTCTAATAAGTGTGCGCATACTGACCTACTCACTCCAGCTTACCCCTCTGTTTTAGTAACTAATTTCTCTTCTTCTTTTTTGAGGCAGGGCCTCACTATGTGGCCCCTGTTGGCCTGGAAGATCCTCCAGCCACTACTATCAAGTGTAGGAATTAAAGGCATGCACTACCACGTCTGCCTATTAATTAATTAATTAATTTTTGGTTTTTCGAGACAGGGTTTCTCTGTGTAGCTTTGCTCCTTTCCTGGGACTCACTTGGTAGTCCAGGCTGGCCTCGAACTCACAGAGATACGTCTGCCTCTGCCTCCCGAGTGCTGGGATTAAAGGCGTGCACCACCACCGCCCGGCTTATTAATTTATTTTTAACAACTTCATATATGTATATCGTGTATTTTTAGTTTGTTTGGGACTTTAGGGAGGGGGCGGGCTTTTCCAGACAAGGTTTCTCTGCGTAGTCTTGGCTGTCCTAGAACTCACTCTGTAGACTAAGCTGGCCTTGAACTCAGAGATCCGCTTGCCTCTGCCTATCAAAGTGCTAGGATTAAAGGCGTGTGCCACCAATGCCCGGCTGGGCCTTTTTTTTTTTTTTTTTTTTGAGACAGGGTTTCTAGCCAATGATGGTCTTGAATTCTGTGTAGCAGAATCTGGCCTTGAATGTCCGACCTGCCCAACTCCACATCCTGAGTGCGGGAATGATAGACTTTAGGAACCATGCAGTTTGTTCAGTGCTAGGAATGGAACCCAGGGACTTGAACATGCTAGGCAGGCACTCTACCAGCTTCAATTCCTGACTCTATACAGTATTTGTATCATATTCACCTCCAGTTAGCATCTTATCCCCCCTCACACTCCCACTGAACCTTCTTTCCTATAAATTCCCTACTTACTTCCATGTCATTGTTTTGTGAACTACTGAGTTAGGATCTCTTACATGAGCATAGATATGGGGTTTACTTACCTGAGCATAGGTTACACCGCTGAAGAAAATGACACCTTCGTCCTCTAGCAACTACCACCAATAGGTCTTCAGGGAAAGGTGATGCCTACCACGCCCCATCCCAACCATGATGGAATGCTAAAGGGTTCTGTCTTCTGCAAGTAACCACCCCAGCTATGATTTCATGGGTGGCAACAGCCATGTTATGTCAAGGAGACACAAGCTTTTTTTTTTTTTTTTTTTTTTTTTTTTTTTAATGGTCCTAGGGCAGAAAGAAAATGAAAATTCTGTTGGCAGGATTTTTTTTTTTAACTATAGTGTGTGTGTGTGTGTGTGTGTGTGTGTGTGTGTGTGTGTGTGTGTGTGTGTGATTGAATACAGGCTTGTAGCATGCCATGGCTTGCAAGTTGGAGTTTTCTCTTTCCACCAGGTGGGTTCCGGGAATCAAATGCAGGTTACAGGCTTGGTAGCAAGCATCTTTACCCACTGAGCCACAGAACCAGTCCTGTATGCAGAATCCTTGACAGGCTAACATCAAACTAAAACTTTCCATGTAATTCAAAGCATTAGAAGAGATGTATACCAGAAACCTCCACTCCCAACATCCCCTTTTCCTCCTTCCCTCCCTGTTGTCCTGTTGTGTCCCCCCACCGTCGTCCCCGTCCCCCCCCCCCTTCTCTCTCCTTGATGGCACCTTCTGGAGCACCCTTACACCATCTCCAGAGGCCCTACATTCTAAAGTTAGGATAAGTAGGTGCCAAACTAGGTAGGCCAGGAGAGCAAATGTGCCTGTGTGCATTTATGTAAGTTTCTATAGGTACCAGTTCACCTGTCACTATTGCCTGATCATCTTAGCTCTGCTCCTCAATCATACTGTTCCAGCCATGAAGTCAAACACATTCCAGCCTCTGAGTTTTAGCCTTCTGCAAAACTGGCTTCCCCCTTGTCATTCCAGTTAGGGCAGCAAGATACTGTTTTTATGTGCCATCGTACCCCCGCCCCCACCCTATGTACTAGCCAAGGGATGGGTGCAGAAAAAAAAAGGGAAGGACCATATTGTATTGGACCCATATTGTATTGGAATGACGATGAGCCTACTCCATTCGCTCATCTGAAAGTAGAGTTAAAAGATTCCCCAAAAACCACTTTTCAGAGAAGCCTTAGGCATTAAATTCAGGGAGATGTCAAGCACCCTTAACTGTTAAATAACTCAGCATGCAACAAGAGCTCAAAGGTGAGCTGGCTAGGCATGGTGGCACATACCTGTAATCTCAGTACTCGAAAGGATTACCACAAATTTGAAGCCAGCCTATTTACACAATTCCAGGGCCAACAGGGCCACATATTGAGGCCAACTAAGCAAAGAGGACATGAAGAAACAGAAGCTGTTACTACCATGGTCACATTCTACATCTTTCTAGAGTCTGCCTGGGGGGTAGGGCACAAAGCTTAATACTGGAGCATCCGGGATCCCCAGCTCCTAAAGCTGTAGAACTTCGAATAAAGGTTTTCATACACTGGCCCTCGGTCTTCCCACCTTTAAAATGGAATAACAAGTAATAACTATTCCTTCCCTAGAGATGTGAAACAGGCTCAGAATTGGGTCTCATCCATGGTAACCCCAGATAAGCGTGGATAGTGTTGCCATTAGCTATTAGTGAGTATAAAGGGTCTCAGTATAAAGGGCTCATTGGAAATATAAGCTAAGTGGAAATTGTCCTTACCTTTTTCCTTTTGGAATGGAACCAGGACCTCCCACATGCTAAGCATGTTTTGTGCCACTGAGCTACATTCACAGCCCTTTGTATACTCTCAAGTTGGTTTTGTTGTTGTTATTTTGTTTATTTTTGTGGTTTTGAGGGTTTGTGGCTTTTTTTTTTTGTTGTTTTGTTTTGTTTTTGTTTTTGTTTTTCGAGACAGGGTTTCTCTGTGTAGCTTTGCGCCTTTCCTGGGACTCACTTAGTAGCCCAGGCTGGCCTCGAACTCACAGCGATCCACCTGGCTCTGCCTCCTGAGTGCTGGGATTAAAGGCGTGCGCCACCACCGCCCGGGTGGCTTTTTTGTTTTGTGTTTTTGTTCTGTTTTGGGAAATAGGATATCTCTATTTAGACTGCTTTGGAACTCCCTATGTAGACTAGCCTAGTCTTGAACTCAGAGATCCTACTGCCTCTATCTCCTGAGTGCTGGGACTAAAGGCATGTGCCACACACACATGGCTTATTTTATCTTCTTCTTCTTCTTTTAAAGATTTATTTATTTATTATGTATACATAAGAGGGTGCCAGATCTCATTACAGATGGTTGTGAGCCACCATGTGGTTGCTGGGAATTGAACTCAGGACCTCTGGAAGAGTAGTCAGTGCTCTTAACCTCTGAGCCATCTCTCCAGCCCTTATTTTATCTCCTTGAGCCATGGTCTCACTATACAGCCCTAGCCAGCCTGGAACTCAACATGTATTTTGTACTGCCCTTGAACTCACAGAGATCTGCTTACCTCTGCCTCTATGTGCTAGGATTAAAGATGTACAACACCACGAAAGGCCCTTTGTGATTTATGTGTATGGGTGTTTTGCCTGTCTGTGTACCTGTGCACCATGTGTATGCTTGGTGTCAGTGGAGGCCAGAAAAGGATATTGAATCCCCCAAAGAAGTCACAGATGGTTGTGAGCCATCACATGAGTGCTGAGAATCAAACCCATGTCCTCTTCAATGGAAGAGCAGCCAGTGCTCTTAAACACTGAGCCAATTCTCAAGCACACATGTGGGAGAATTCCCACTGGGCTACACTGATCTGGCTCCAGAGTGCTAGCACCTAGCCTAAATCCATCTTTTGTTTCTTAGTTACCTTTTGTTTCTCTTGTTGCCCTCAATGTGAATCTTGTCTGAGAGTTTCCCAAGGGTACAAAGCATATGCAAAACTTGGTTAGGAAAAATCCAGTACGCTGTGATTTCCTTATTCAAGAATTTGCACTTGGCATTGTCCCTTTGGACGCTTCATCAGGATGTTTTGGGAATATGGAAATCAAGTTGCTGAAAGTGAAAATTTTGAAAACAATAAAAATGCCCTAGGCAAGCCGGGCGTGGTGGCGCACGCCTTTAATCCCAGCACTCGGGAGGCAGAGGCAGGCGGATCTTTGTGAGTTCGAGGCCAGCCTGGGCTACCAAGTGAGCTCCAGGAAAGGCGCAAAGCTACACAGAGAAACCCTGTCTCGAAAAAAACCAAAAAAAAAAAAAAAAAATGCCCTAGGCTAAGGGAAGGTGTCTCAGTCCCGCAAGAGGCTGATTCCCCCTGCAGCTGGAAAGGCTAAGATATCCTTAAGGTGTGATGTGTCTTCTTCCCACAGACCCATGTAAACCCACACCTGCTCAACAACACACACACTCCCCACCCCCAATTTGTTTATTCTTAAAGTCATTTGTTGTTAAGGACACACTCCACGGTAGATCATTTGCCTATAATATATGAAGCTCTGAATTCAATCCTTTGTACCATTAAAAAATATATATATACACATGTATATATAAATAGTATATATATATGTATATATATATACTATATATATATATATATATAAAATTTTATTTCCTTGAGACATCATCTCACTATGCAGTGAGACCTCTTGGCTATATATATATATATATATTGCCAAGGCATAGTGTTTCATGCCTTTAGTAATCTCAGCACTCAGAAGACAGAGGCAAGAAATCTCTTTGAGTTCCAGGCCAGTCAGTACTACCTAGAGACCTTGTCTCAAAGTGTGTGTGTTACTAGAAATATATTAAAAACTATATTTATTTAATAATTCTGGGAATCAAACCTAGAGTTTTGTCTTTGTTATTCAAGTACTCAATTACTGCACTACATCACCAGCTAAAATAACTTTTTAAAAAATCATTTAAAGCTGGGCGGTGGTGGCGCACGCCTTTAATCCCAGCACTCGGGAGGCAAAGCCAGGTGGATCTCTGTGAGTTCGAGGCCAGCCTGGTCTACTGAGTGAAATCCTGCCTTGAAAAACAAACAAACAAAAAATCATTTAAAAAATAAAAACAAAGAAAACTTTAAAAAATCATTTATTGGAGCAGAGAGATGGTTCAGTAGTTATGAGCACTTGCTGCTCGTACAGAAGACAGAGGTTTTGTTTCTAGCACCCACATGTCAGCTCAAAAACATCTGTAACTCCATCCAGTTCCTGGGAATCTCTTGCCTTCTTCTGGCTTCCTTGGGCACTGCATGCACATAGTGCACATATATATGCAGGGATTAAATGCGCATGCCTTTGATCCCAGCACTCAGGAGGCAGAGGCAGGCGGATCTCTGTGAGTTTGAGGCCAGCCTGGTCTTCAAAGTGGGTTCCAGGACAGCCAGGGCTGTTACACAGAGAAACCCCATCTCAAAAAAAAAAAAAAAAAAAAAAAAGGGATATTTTCAAAAGATCATTCAGCCAAGCGGTGGTGGTGCACACCTTTAGTCCCAGCACTCGGGAGGCAGAGCCAGGCGGATCTCTGTGAGTTCGAGGCCAAGCCTGGGCTACTAAGTGAGTTCCAGGAAAGGTGCAAAGCTACACAGAGAAACCCTGTCTCAAAAAACCAATAAACAAACAAACAAACAAACAAATAAATAAACAAAATAAAAGATCATTCATCATAAACCCTGCCCAGGCCAGTGCAGTGGCTCATTGGGTGAGAACGCTTGTACAAACCTAAAAACCTGTTTGCTCCCTGCAGCCAAATAAAGGTAGAAGGAAAGATCTTGCTCTCCTAACAAGGTTTCTTCTGACCTCCCCCAGCAATAATAACAATAAACAATTTAAAGAGGAATAAACTATCCCCTTTTCCTGTTCTTTGTTTTTTCGTTCTGTATGCGCTTGGGCATGCAGAGGCCCAAGTAAGGCTCCACCTTATCCATTGATCTAAGGTCTCTCAACTGAACTCAGAGCTTTGCCCATATGGCTAGTTTTGCTAGCCAGCTTGCTCTGGGATCTCCTGAGTGCTAGGCTAGCATCACGAGGGAGACACACACACACACACACACACACACACACACACACACACACACACACACACACACCAAATCTATATAGGTTATAGAGATGGAAAATCTGGTCTTCATAATCGTGTAGCAAGCGCTTTAATCACTGAGTTGTCTCCCCAGGCCTGCATCCTGTTCTTTGTTTAAAATTCTGACTTTACTTCTTCCTTACACTTCTGTGATGGTTAGCATTAACTGTCAATTTATCATCTTGATTGTACTGATTGATGTAGAAAGACCCATCTTAACTGTGCCTTGATTTCCCCACCATGAGGGGCTGTACCTGGAGCTGTGAGATAAAATGAATGCTTTCTCCCTTAAGTTGCCTTTTAAAAAAAATTTATTTTATGTGTATGGGTATTTTGCCTGCATGTATGTATGTGCACCATATGTGAGCAGTGTCTGGGGGAGCCAAAAGCGGTCACTGGATCCCCTGGAACCGGAGTTAGGGACATTGCAAGCTGCCATATGAGTTCTGAGAATCAAACACAGTTCTTTTCAAGAGTGGCCAGTGTTCTTAACCACTGAGCCATCTCTGCACCCCCACTTAAGTTGCTTTTATCTGATTACTTTATCATAGAATTAAGAAACTAAGACAGATTCATAACAGATCCCTCAAAGCTGGCCAAGTGTTTTATAATTTCCCCCCATAAAATCACTCACTTGGAGCAGTTTAGAAATGTAACTGACGAGTCCATGTTAGCCAGCAAGGGCTCCTTTTATTCATTCAGGGTTGGGTTTTTGGAATGCAGTGCAACTTTATAAAGTCAAGAGTGCCAGTAAAGCAAGCCAGCTAGGTGCAGAGTAGCGCAAGAAGCTTGCTGGAACCTTCTAGCCCAACAGGCGCCCCTGACACAAGCAGTCAAAGCTGCTGGCCAAGGAGGTATCAAGCAGAACTCAGAATGAGATAGGGGTGCCTGCTCCATCCAAAGCTTGGGTCTGTTCATTTGTCCTGGTCATGTACAACAATATAAAACAAAACCCTTGAAAATCTGTTCACAAGGAGCACAGAGCAGGCTCTGCTTGCTGTGGCTCTTGGCCTGAGAAGCATCGTGGCTGTGCATGAAAGGTCAGGCAGCTTCCATCCTTCCAAACACCAAGGCATTGTCATCTGCCTCTGGTCTCTTCACTACCTCAGGGCCCTGCCAGTCAGTTCTTCACACAGGGGTCTCCTCTGCCACCTTTTTTAAGAGTCCAGCAGCCAGCAAGGAGTGGTGGGGTTCCTCGGAGCCATCTGCTTCTCGAATCTTCAGGCGGACTTTCTGATTTGTCTTCCTCCATTCTGAGTACAGCTGGCAGTGGTATCGGAAAGAGACCTGCGGAGGCAGTCCTGCAGTGGGTGGGAAGGTAGAGACAGGCCTCCACCCTGGGAGAGGAAAAGGAGCCCTGGCATTCGCCATAGGCCACACCTAGAAGCAGACCACATTTGGGCATTTCTTGTAGACTGTCCATACACTCACCCATTTGGTCTTCTGAGAATACTTTGAAAAGCTTTGAGTCCTGTAAAATAAGGGATCCACCACCTTGACCCCAGCAGGGAGCAAGGTTCTTCTGTTCTACAGCTGATGAGAATGGAGTCCTACCAGTCTCTTGGGATTATTTAACCTCAAGCACTCACACAATTGCCCAACCTGGAGGCAACCTGTCCCTTCATAAGTAAGAATATAAAAATGATGGTGCATTTAAGGGACTGGGAAGATGGCTCAGTGGGTAGAGTACTTGCTGTGTAAGCTTGAGGATCTGAGTTCAAATCCCTGAGCATGATTCTGTGTCCTACCTGTAACTCAAAAACTGGGAAGAAGAAGGAGGTAGAGGTAAGAGAATCGCTAGGACTTGATGGCTGGTAGCATTTACATGTGTACACACACATACCACACATACACACTCATGAATATAGACACACACACACACACACACACACACATACACGGTTACACATACACACACACATACATACGGACACACATTCAGACATACATACTCATACACACACACACACACACACACTAAAAGAAGTGAGAGCTGGAGCTACAGCTCAGTGGTAAAGTGCTTGTTCAGCATGTGAGAGGCACTGGATTCTAATCCGAATACCATTAAAAAAAGAGTTCAGCTGGTAGTGCAGGAATGTGACCCCAGTTGCTCAGACAGGACAACCACAAGTCTAAGGTCTGTCAGGACTACAGAATGATTGCAACTTAGTGAGACACTGTCTCAAAACAACATATAAAAAAACGGCTGGGGATATAGCTCAGTAGAGGCATGCTTGCTTAGTATGTGAGAGCCCTGGGTTCAATTCTCAATATGGAACAACAAAAGTGAGCTATCAAGTGATGATGCAACTTAGAGAAAACGTAAATTCAAATAACCAAGTGAAAGAGGCCGAAGCAGCTACATGCTGTATGACTCCAAGTACATGACATTCCCGAAGAGGAGAAACTATGGAGATAGTAAAAAGATGGGTGGTTATCAGGGGTGTTGGAGTGGGGAGGGAAAAACAGGTGGAGAACAGAGGAGCAACTAAAAATTGTACACTAGTGTTTGGGAATTCGGCATAGTTGGGAGAGTGTTTGCCCAGCACTCACAAAGCCCAGGGTTCCATGCCAGCACCACATAAAGCAGATGTGGTGGCACATATGTGTGACATCCCAGCAGTTAGGAAGTAGAGATGCGAGGATCAGGAATTCAAGGTCATTCTGGCCCATGAGACCCTGACTGGGGAAACGGCTCAGTTGATAAAGGGTCTGCTGTTTAAGTGTCAGGATCTAAGTTCAGACCTCTAATGCCTGCAAATGAAGCTGAACATCATGGGATGTATATATAATACCAGTGCTGGGGTCAGAGACAGGCAGGTTTCTAGAGGACCCTGGCCAGCCAATCTAGCCAAACCAGTGAGTTCCAGGTACAGTGAGAGACTCTATCTCAAATAAAAGGTAGAGTCTGGCCAGACTGCTCAGTGGGTAAAAGCCACTGTGATGGTTTGAAAGAAATGGTCCCCAAAGGGAGTGGCACTATTAGGAGATGTAGCATTGTTGGAGTAGGTGTGGTCTTGTTGGAGGAAGTGTTTCACTGAGGAGGTGGGCTTTAAGGTCTCATATATGCTCAAGATAATGTCCAGTGTCTCAGACTACTTCCTGTTGCCTGTAAATCAAGATGTAAGAATCTCAGTTCCTTCTCCAGCACCATGTCTGCCTGCATGCTGCCTTGCTTCCCACCATGACGATAATGGACTACATTTCTGAAACTGTAAGCCACCCAATTAAATGTTTTCCTTTTGTTGCTGTGCTCATGGTGTCTCTTCATAGCAATAGAAACCCTAACTAAGACAGGCTACCAACACCAAGCCTGACAACCTGAGTTTGACAACCAGGACCTATACTGTGTGGAAGGGGAGCACCAACTTTTCTAAGTTGTCATCTAACCAGTGCCAGTGTGTGCACACACCACCACTAACACACACACACACACACACACACACACACACACACACACAATGTAATTTTAAAATTATGGGCATTATGCTGGGTGGTGGTGGCTCACGCCTTTAATTCCAGCACTTGGGAAGTAGAGGTAAGCAGATCTCTGTGAGTTCCAGGATACCCTAGTCTATATAGCAGGGCCACATCTCAAAAAAAAAAAAAAAAGTGAATGAGCTGGAGAGACGGCTAAGAGGATAAGGGTTCTTGACTCACTTGATGACCCAAGTTCAACTCCCAGAACTCTTTTTTTTTTTTTTTTTTTGGTTTTTCAAGACAGGGTTTCTCTGTGTAGTTTTGGTGCCTGTCCTGGAACTTGCACTGTAGACCAAGCTGGCCTCGAACTCAGAGATCCACCTGGCTCTGCTCTGCCTCCCAAGTGCTGGGATTAAAGGTGTGCGCCACCACCACCACCACCACCAGGCTAAAGCTAGAATTAACCTTCATTTTTGTAAACTTCCCATCAAGGATGCTGGGAAAGAAACTTAAGTCTTCTGCAAGAGCCTCAAAGTTCTTTTTTTTCTTTTTCTCTTTTTTTGGTTTTTTGAGAGAAGGCTTCTCCATATAACAGCTCTGGTTGTCCTGGAATTTGCTCTGTAGACTAGACTGGCCTCTCAAATCACAGAGATCCACCTGCCTCTGCCTCTTGAGTGCTGGGACTAAAGGTGTGCACCACCACGCCCAGCTCCGCCAGAACTCTTATGGTAGAAGTAAAGAACAGAGTCCTTCAAGCTGTCCTCTAACCTCTACATACATGCCATGCCACACATGCTCTTTCACACACATACAAACAAAATAAATGAACATAATAATAAAATACAAAAATAAGATGGACAGCCGGGCAGAATCACATCCTTGTGCAAACACTGGCAGTGCTTAAGATGCCTTTAACACCTAACAATGTGAGCATGGTGGCTCGAGCCTGTACTTGAACTACAACGAGTTCAAGATCAGTCTGGGCTGAGATTCTGTCTCATAAAAAAAGCACATCAGGGATGGGGATGAGGCTCAGTGGTGTCAGCGTTTACTTAAGTGTGTGGTGGTGCACACCTGTTACCCATGTACTTGGGAGGTGAGAGAATTGGGAAGGTCAGAAGCTCAAAGCTATCATTAGTTACATACTGAGTTCAAAACCAGTACGGGGTACTTGAGATCCTCTTTAAGTCTGTCTGTCTGTCTGTCTGTCTGTCTGTCTCTCTCTCTCTGTGTTGCTAGCTTGAAACCAAAAGGTCTCTCTCATGCTAAATATGAACTCTATCACTGATCTGGAAACGACTTCTTGATATGAGGAATGGCCCACTGCTGGACAACTGGAAAGTACAAGGACTTCCTCTCTGAGCAAAGATGTCACTGTTTGCTCTAGTGGCACCCCTACTTTATCTTATCACTTTCTGTCTCAGCAATAGTCTCAGTGTTCTTCCCCTTTCCATTCTCTTCTCTTCTTCCTTCTAACTACTTTTTAGGTACATTCTTACTACATTTTATATTGTGTGTATGTGTGTGCACGTGTGCATCCACTCATGCACATGTGTGGACATCAGAGGATAACCTGTAGAAATCAGCTCTCCCTCTCTAACATGTGGGTCCTGGAGGTTGAACTCAGTTTGTCAGCCTTCACCCACCAAACCACCAACTCACAACTATTTTTTAGTTTAAATTAATTTTTCTCACTGACACATAGAAACCAGTACATTTTATAGAGTACCCATTCCACACTCATTTTCTGTTTATTTCCTGTGCTAGGGAAGGAATCCAGAGCCTGATACATGCCAGGAAAGTGCCCTACCATGGGACCACACCTCTAACCCCTCAATTTTTCAATCAATATGTCTCATACAATCTTTCTTGGCTTATTTGTCTTAAAACTTTAAAAAAAAAAAATTTAAATTTATTTTTCTTGTTGGAGGGCCTTCATGTGAAAGCCAGAGGACAACTTTGTGGAGTCAGTTTTCTCCTTCTACCTATGTGGGTTCTAGGGATCACACTCAGGTTGCCAGGCTTGCCCAGCAAGCACTTTTACCCACTGAGCCATCTTGCCAGCCCTGTTATGTTTTGCTGAGTAATAGTCTCATGTAGTCCAGGTTGGCCTCCAACTCTGATTCTCCTGCCTCCAACTCAGGTGTTTGTAAACACACCTGGTGTATGTAGTGCTAGGAACTAGAACCCAAAGCTCCGTGCATGTTAGGCAAACACTGTACCAACTGAGCTACTCCTCAGTCCTGTATTTTGGCTTCAATCCCTCATTCTCTACTCTCTATTCTTTAGATGGGACTACCCCATGTTGCTCAGACTGGCCCTGAGCTCCTGGAAGAATCATGTTCTATCACTGTCAGCTCCAGCTAAGTTCTTAACATCTCTCCCTTCATTTTTTTTTTTCTTTTTGAGGGTCTCTCTATATGACCCTGGCTGTTCTGGAACTCTGTATATAGACCAGTCAGGCATTGAGCTCACAGAGATCTACCAGTCTCTGCCTCCTCCTGAATGCTGGGATTAAAGGTGTGCACCACCATGCCTGTCCTTATTTATTAATCTATCTGTCTGTCTATTTATTTATTTATTTTGAGACAGAGTTTCATTGTATAGCCCAAACTGGCCTTAAATTTGTTAGTCATCCTCCTGCCTCAGACTCCTGAGTACTGTGATTACAGGAAATGAAAATCACCACAGCTGGCTTCTGTCTTATTTGTGTGTTTGTGGTACCAGGGATTTAACCTAGGAATCTCTCTAGCCCAGATTTAATTTTTTTTTCTGCATTTTTCATCTATTGATTGTGTGGGGGTGGAGTGGGGTGTACATGTGGAAGGACAATGTGTGGAGGTCTGTTCTCTCCCGCTATGTGGTCCCAGGATTCAAATCAGGTCATCAGGCTCAGCAGCAAGTGTTTTTATCAGCTGAGCCATCTCACTGGCCCTCAACTTCTTTCTCTCCTTTCTTCCCTCCCTCCCTCCTTCCTTCCTCTTCTCTCCCTCTCTCTGTTCCTTCTTCCTCCCTCCCTCCTTCCTTTCTTCCTCCTTCCCTTCTTCTTTCCCTCCTTTCTTTCTCTTTCTTTTTGAGACTGAGTCTCATGTATCCCAGGCTAGCCATGGTCTCACTATGTAGCAAAGGATAACCCTGAGTGTCTAATCCTTCTCAAAGCTGGAAACTAGAGAGAATGGCACTGGGATTCAAAACTGGATAAGCACGCCACCAACTGAGCTACATCCAGGACAGATTCCCCCCTCCCCTCTCCCTTTCTTTCCTTCTTAACTTTTTTATTAACTAAATCTCTTCTTTCACAGTTCCATATATGTCTATAATGCATTCTGATTACTCTCATCCCACTTTCATTTCCCTGCCAGCTATCAAACCCCTCCTCCCTACAAAGCCTTTCCCCATATTCATGTCTTTTTGTTTTTCTCTGTGACACACTGAGTTAAGGCAGGGCCATCTGTGTGGCCACTGGTTTGGGTATACAGCAGAGCCTCATGGGCTCAACTGTGGGCACACAACTGAAGACAATGTCTCCCCCTTCTCCAGAGTCTATCAGTAGCCAACAATTCAGCAGGGAGAGGTGGGGCTCATATTTTTTGGAAGATTTTTAATCCATATTCTTTGTTACATTTATTTAGTTATTTCTGGGGCATCCTATGTTAGGACAGAGGGCAAGCTGAAGTCAGTCCTCACCTTCCACCACACGGGTTCAGGACCAGTTCCTTTACTGCTGAGATTTCTCACTTGTCCTCAGTTTCTTAGTACATATCTGCTTGACCTCACTCTCTCCCAATCTCTTTCTTGCTTCAGCCTTTTGCTGTTCTGTCCCCACTTCTTCTCACCTGACCCATCATGATTAGCTGCCCTAGTGCCCTTGGAACAAAAGGCTCACTATTGGTTGGGGTGTCACTGGACCTGTGTTACACTGTCAACCTGAAACAATAGCAAGAGTGAGCTGAGGTGACCACTTCCAGCAGTAGCAACATTCATACACAACCTGGGCATCCCAGCTGAGCCCACCCACCTGGGCTGCACCCACTCACCAGTGTCCAGAGCACATAGATGGTGAAGAGGGCGATGGTGAGGGCAATGAGCCCCACAGCCTCCAGCCGGCTGTGCAGACGGAGGTGGTCCTGGGCCCCTCGAAGGCACAGCCAACCTGAGATGGCAGCCAGTGGTGTGATGAACACGAAGCACACCATGTCACAGCACAGCGTCCGCTTCTCAGTGCGAGGCCCTGGGTCCTTCAGCCACTGCAGGGGAGCAGAAGAGAGGTGGTGTTATGCAGAAGGGTGCTGCAGAAGGAATGGGATGAGGGCAGGCTGTAGGCCTGGATCTCTTTATTTTTTAATAATAATAATACTTTAGTGTTATTATTTATTTATTTATTTATTTATTTTTCAAGACAGGGTTTCTCTGTGTAGCTTTTGCGCCTTTCCTGGAACTCGCTTTGGAGACCAGGCTGGCCTCGAACTCACAGAGATCCGCCTGCCTC